CTTCTGTACTAAATTGACAATGCAAACTTGTAACACTTGAAATATTGTATTTCCTGAATTCATATACTGAAAATAATGGCTTATGTGCATGTTTTACCTATAGCATTTTGAATATAAAGACTTCATATAAAATATCTCTTTTAAACTCTAAGAAATGAACATTTTTAGGCTCTTCAAAATTTGTTTTACACATATGAAAAGTGGGCTAACCTTTAAAGCTCCTGGAGATTAAAAAATACATGTTTTCAAAATGTCCACTTTTCATTTAAGTGAACCAAGAACATTTAAGCTTAAACTGGTCTATAACTATACCCTAAAAGTTATTTCCACCCTCTACCACTAATGACCCACTCTAAACGGGAAGAAAATTACTTACATTCTTAACCTTTTCATCCTCAAATAGAACTTCTAAAACATTCTAATTTTAGCTATACTTAGCATTCTTCAGATCTACTTAACACCACATTCCTGGCCGTCATCTCAAAAGGCAGCCCTCGATTCTCCGATTCTCCGATTCTCCGAACCCCTGACGCTCACAGACCAGGAGGAAGGGCTCAGGAGGAGGCTTGGTGTTCCTCCCACCGTTGCTCAGCCCGCTTTCTAGTCTTGACTCGGTCTCCCTGACTCCCGATTTCCATCATTCGGCAGCTCGCTCTTCTGGCGAGCACGTGTCAAACGCTCGACCACAGGGATTTCAGCACGCCGTCGAACCACCTCTCTTTCTTTCCATGCTGCCCCATACATCCTCCTCAATGAATTCAGCTCCTATTTCACCGCGGACCCTTGGGTCATCCAGTGTGGGCACTCACCAAATTCCCTTCTCCCATCTTAAAATTTCTTCCCTCCTGATATCTTATACAAGTGGCTCTTCATGTTCACCTAGGTTCCATATTGGCCATCGCTCTATTAATTAACCCCTCTCTGGCATTTGCCTTTGCTCTGTTTCCTCCAAATAACCAGCTCAGGTAACCCTCATTCTTTATCCAAAACAAACAATTTAAAGACTGAAAATTCACACTTTCCCCAAATCCTGTATCTCTCTCAAATTGACATCCTCTTTCTCTATACAAAGTCTGAAAAGAGGATGCCTGGATGGCTCAGTCAGTCGAGCACCCGACCCTTGATTTCAGCTCAGGTCATGATCCCAGAGTCATGAGATCGATCCCTGTGTCAGGCTCCACGCTGAGTGTCAAGCCTGCTTGAGATGCTTGTTCTCTCTCCCTATGCCCCTCTCCCCTGTTCATGTGCACGCTCTCTTGCTCTCTCTCTTAAAAAAACAAGAACAAAAAAAAACAAAAAAACAACTCCCAAAGGTAAGCCTCCACTCCTTACCTCATAGGAATCTGTTATATTGAGGCTGATTTCTTCATGGTTATTTCCTGCTATTTTCTTAGTCCCATCTTGGATCACTTGTTGTCGCCATTTTGAAAATTCTCTGCCTGTCACAGGACCCAATCTCTAAAGGTTTTCTCCTATCCTTACTGGCTACCTTGTTTCTTCTTGTCCTTAAAGGTAGGCATACCTCAAAAATCTGATCTTAGAGAGCCCCTCTTTGTCAGTCCTCTGTTATTTATAGTAGTTTGATTATCAATCTTAAACATTAACTCCAAAACCTGTGTCTCTCAATAGGACTTCATTCCCAACTCCCAATCCAGAATCTCCAATACTTGGCCGGACATTTCTAGCCAAAAACTTGAGAAGCATTTAAAACACACCATACCCAAAAACCGAAGCTTTCATATTCTTCCAACCTCTTGTTATTTCTATTAATGATATTCACTATTTTCTCCAGCACCTGAACCCAAAACCTCTTCTAATACCACCACCACTATTGTTTATTGAACTCTTACCATGTTCTCTGCTTTGTTCTAAGTATTTTCATAAATATAATTTAGTACTCAGGAAGTGGGTATTATTGGTAACGTCATTCTATAGATGAGGTCAGGTCACACATCTTACAAGTAATGGCACTACATTTCATCCTGGTGCTCCAACTCCAGAGTTTACACTCAACCACTGATACAATCCTGCCATCTTCTTCCTGCTAGACTAAAGCCAAGGATCTGAGAGACAGTAGTGATATACACAGGGTTATAGAAAAAAAAGGTAAGGAAACCCCAGCAGTACAAGAAAGGTCTAGGCAGCAGAGTAAAGGCAGAGATTGGTAGGTGTATCAACCACCTGGCATATGCACACAATACACAAACACAACCCCCCCCCACACACACACAGAGTACACACAAAATGAAAGGCAAACCGGAGGTTAAGTTCATTTAGAATATACATTTTAGAGTCTTACGCATCTATTCAGATGCCAGAGTCCAGATTTTGACTGCGAAATACCTCTCCAAATACCAGTTGCAATTTTCTGTGGCTATTCTGGGTCAGCCACCTTCTAAATTTTGCAATAGCCAACTGATTAGCAGCCTCTGATTTGTCTATTCTCCAATCTATTTTTACACCACTCTGTGATTAATTTTACAAACTGTAAGATTAATCACACTGACAATTCAAAATGCTAAATGGTTTCCCAGTGCCTACCTAAATAAGAAAATTTATCACACATTGTAATTCCGTAACAACATAAAAAAAAATCTGGGAAGTTTTACATATTTTCTAACATCTAGACCAACTTAGATGATATAATTATTTGATACTTCTAGGTTTGATAGCAGCCACCTGAAATGCAATTCAGATCAGGTACACCTTGAGGTCTCCTATACATTTACATTCGTGGATGGCCTGTTTAAATTTTGTATTTCATCTTCAAGCAGTGATGTTCATTGAAAACTGCCTGCTTCCAATTGAAAATTGCAAATTTCATTAGCACACACCTAGATATAATTTAGTTACCTGCACCTTGTGGTTTCATCACCTTTATCACACTTAATTATAATTTTTGTTTCCCCTCCCTCTCCTTTTTCCTTGAAAAGAGCTTTAAAAGAGATGTATTGATTTTACTGGCATTTTCATACAGTCAAGTGTTTGAGATCGTCAGCGCAAATGGTGTACTGTTTACTACCTCACAAATTTAGACTTCCATCTTTACTAATCCCTCTTTCCTACTTGTTATTATCTTAATAATCTTTATTTGTATTTCTCCACCGACCCAAAGTTATTTAAAGTAACTGGTTTTAAACTTCCAAATGGTTGATTTAGTTAAACTTTGTAAAAACATCTCTAGCTCTATTGAAGTATAATCAAGGAATGGGGTTTATACAATTCTACTTGGAGAGGAGATTTTCTTTGTAGTTGGCCTAATGAATTATTAATCTTTTGTAACTGTTGTGTGGATGACAAAAAAAGAAAAAAGATACATTTTATGGGCTAATTTTTAATATATTATTCAAGTCATCTATAGCTCTTATTTTGTACCTTCTTGATCCTCAAGTAGATTAAAGATTCCTATTATCACTCCTTTACTGTCAATTTTTTCTTCATTTCTGCCAGCATATGCTTACTACATTTGATGTTATGCTTAGCACATAAGAGTTCATACCGCTCTGTCTTCACTGTGGAGTGCTCCCTGTGTTAATACAAAATGACATACTTGATCTAGTTTTATACATCTTGTTGTAAATGCACTGATAATGATATTCTGTCATCTGCTTTTGAAATTTACATTTGCCTGCTGTATGTTTAATAGACCACTTATTTTTCTAACCTGAATTGTTTGATGTAAGCCCCTTGTATGTGATTAATCTCTTAAAAAACAGAAACTTAAAAGTATAGGTTATACACACCTTTCAAACCTAGAATACTGTCATAGTGCTTCCAGGTCAGAACACCACCTGGATACCAGAACACAAGATATGCAATGTTTTGCTCATATTCTGTGCATTGGGACCTTCAGATCATTTTCTCTAAGATGAATTCATGATACAGATTCCTCAGTTAAAAAAGTAATTTTAGGGGTGCCTGGGTGGCTCAGTCGGTTAAGCAGCTGACTTCGGCTCAGGTCATGATCTCGCAGTCCGTGAGTTCGAGCCCCGCGTCGGGCTCTGTGCTGACCGCTCAGAGCCTGGATCCTGTTTCAGATTCTGTGTCTCCCTCTCTCTGACCCTCCCCCATTCATGCTCTGTCTCTCTCTGTCTCAAAAATGAATAAATGTTAAAAAAAAAAATTTTAAAAAAAAGTAATTTTATACCCCAGTAAACGTTTCACTAGCACTTCTAAACTAAGAAATAATGTTGATGCTTTAAAATAATAGTGCTTGCTTGAAGCTTGAAAATCTGTTTCACAATGTTTCAACAAAGGAAGAAATCTAGCTCCTAGGAATGGCTATTATTGCAATGACAATATATAACAGTAGCTACTGTATATTAAACTAAGTGCCAGACATTTTACATAGCTCCCTAACACCACCACAACTGTATAAGACACACACTATCACCTCTGTTTCAAGGATAAGAAAACAATCCCAGTACACATAATTATCCTGTCCAAAACTAGGACCTGAACCTAAATGTGACTTTGATTCTAGAGCTTTACACTCCAGTGTCCTGGGTTTCATTAACAGTACACAAACTAACAAGGTAATATGAAAGAGGTCACCACCTCTTAGAACACAGTTTTTCCCATCTATGAAGAATCGCCAAAGTTTAGAGTAGAACAGTGCTTCGTTCTGGGAAACCTGATTGTAAGTAACGTATTAAAAGTAGTGATGCATGAACCACAGAATCCTTGAGAATACTACGAAGCAGACAACTGATATTGTTCTCTCTGCACAGCATCCTTTCCCCTTTGGGAAGCTATCATTACCCCTATGGTTTCAGGGAAGTCAGGTGGACTGTCTTCTTCAGCTTTAGATAAATGTCCCAAGCGTCTGGCCAGAATGTTTGGTTCGGGGATGCATACATGCCCTAATCCAGGTAAATCAGCAGCCAATCTAGGAATTTCTGCTCATATTATAGCTCTCTTCCCATTGTAGTTATTAAAGTAAACCTCGCTATTATTGCAGAGAGCCTGCCTAAAAATAAAGCATATACAGAGGAAAGGAGAGAGTTGAGAGAAAGAGAGGTTCTGGACACCTGTTAAGCATCTATGTCCAGGCCAGAGCTTTTATGGTAATATAATCCCATATAAATGTCTCCTTGGTTTCAGCTTTGTTAAGTTGGGCTTATGACAGAAAACTGAAAGCATGCTAATATAATATAGCTTTTTTTTTTTAAGTTTCTATTTCTACTTTGGGGCTCAAAACAATAAGGAAGAATACTTTGCACAGAAGAAGACAGTAATGTAGAAAGAATACTGTATTTGGGGTGCCTGGGTGGCTCAGTTGGTTCAGCATCTTACTGTTAATTTTGGCTAGGTCACGATCTCACAGTTCATGAGATCGTGCCCCGCATCAGGCTCTGTGCTGACAGCGCGAAGCCTGCTTGGGATTCTCGCTCTCCCTTGCTCTCTCACTCTCTGCCCCTCCCCCACCCGCATGTTTGTGTGCACTCTCTCTAAATAAACAAACATTTTTTTAACAAGAAAGAAAAAAAGAATACTGGATCTGAGATGAGGAGGTATAGTTTTGAGTCATTACACAGGCAGATGAAATGACCTAGGACAGACTGATTTCTACAGATCTACTTGGTCATTTATATCACAACAGGTCTGAACTAAGTCATTGCTAGAGTTCTTCAGTGTATAAAGAGCTTATAATTTTATGAATATATAGACTGTATAACAGGCTTAAATATCATGCATAAAAGGAACACAGTTTAGCCCAGAAGAATTAATGTGTTAGAAAAAATAAGAATGTTACATTAGGGGTTTGTTTTGTTTTGTTTTACTGAAAATGAGGAGAATTGCAGTTTATTTTAAATGAGGAGAAAATGAGAAAATTTTATTAGGTTATCATAGGGGAAAAGTTAGTAACTAATTAGAAAAAAACCTAACCTGATTATATGAGGAGGACATAAAAAATTCAGTCCTCAGAGAAACTAGAAAATTTCCTCTTCTTGGGATCACTTAGAATAAAGTTAATATTTATTATTTCTTGAGAGTTTAAGTCTTCATTACATAAGCTAATGAAGTCACATACAAAGATCATTAAAGGAACTTTATCTCTAATAACAGCTTTGAAAGCAACACAAAAAAGAACTCTGAAGCTCAACACAAAAAAGAACCTTTCCTAAGGTTTAATCCAAGCAAACAATGATCAATGCTTACTTTACCTGCCACCATTCTAGAAGTGGGGAAGGCAAGGGAGAGAGGAGTGGCAGAAATTCTGGGTACATCTGTCATATAACAAAAGTCTGCTTCTTTGATTTCCGAAATTTAGGGAATCTTTCCCAAATACATCCTTACCAGCATTAGCAGGACGCTTTAGCTCTTTACTCACAGTTTATAATACATACTGTGAGCTGACTCGGATTCAGATTCATAAGGGTAAGTGTGGGCTGGGAAGCACAGGACTAGATGGGGGCCAAGCCTGCAGATAGATGCTCAGGTGAGCCGGGGGCGGGGGGTGGGGGGCGGGGGGAGGATCACTGGCAGCTTGTTTTAGCATAATCTGCCACATACTCCTAAAGTGACAGGATCAACTATGCAAAGGAATGACCTTTAGGGAAGTGTAACCCAGTTGCCTTCTTACAAATTAGCCCATAAAAGAAGGACCCTTCTTTCCCCCCAGGGGTTATCCTGTTCTCAGAAAACATTTTTCTTCAGAGGACGTTATCAATTGTACTTTGACTTCTCTGCAACAGTCAAAGCCCGGAGTGTTATTTGGGCAGTACTAACACAGCGGCACATTTTATGGTCGCCTGGTACCCACCCACCGCTGTGCCATCGAATCTGCCCCAAGTCTGCTGAGAAAATGGCAAGATGGCCCCCGATTATTTTGGGAGTGTCTCTGCCAAGTCCACAAATTCTTCACTAAAACATGACACCTGGCTCTTCTTTCTCCAAAACAAGGGAGAGTAGGAGTAGGGGGATGGAGGGAAGGGAGGGGGGAAAAAAGAGGAGGCGAAGGAGGGGGAAGGGGGGGAGAAAGAGGAGGAGGAGAAACAATACGCTCGCCTGTACACGTCACCAGAACACAATTTTCTTCAGCTTCTTAATGCTTCTCTACAAGTGAAATTAAGGATATAAACAAAGTAACACTAAAGATAATGTTTTAATAAAAGTAATCCTATATAAACTGAAAAGCTGGTAACAAATATATGTACCTCTTGTAATAATGGATCACAATTTTAAAACTGCGCATCTACGGAGAGTTTGTCAAATCTCTCTTCACCTCTACAGAGAAAGAGAACTGACGCTATTGATCAGATCATGAGGACTAAAAGGAAATACTGCAAGAGGGTAAATTTTTAGCAGATGTTTCAAGAATAAAACCACTTTGGATAATCAACTCTGTTTATTATAAGACACTTCCCCAGAAGAACCCCACGGTTGTATAACAATAGCTTTACCATGTTCAGCTCAGCTCAGCTCATTTCTTACGATGAAATCATATTCATTAAAGCTTAAAAATATATTATTTCGCTAGGACTGCAACCAATAGGTAAGCATGTGATATATTATTGGAAAGTTTTTAGACAAATTTCAAAGATTTAAAGGCAGCTGGCAGCATTATATCTATAAGACCAACAACTTCAAGCTGCCTTTTTTCTACTTGAGCCAGGGGCCACTCAATGCCCAAACATCAGCAAAAATGGGTATGAACTGATGAGCCTTGTCAAAATAGGCCTATTTCAACAGCATTACATGACCTTTCAGGAGAGCTGGTTGCTGTACAGAGATTAATTCTGAACAGTCTCAAAATTCTTTTGCAGTTCTGGGACAGTAGAGAAAAAAAGTTCAACAATGTGTCAGGAGACTCAACTTTTACTCTGAATGCTATTATTTTTTTTTTTTAATGTTTATTTATTTTTGAGAGAGAGAGAGA